GTGATCGCGGTAAAAAAGCAGGGTGCAAATTTTTCCTGCATGGTGGTCAGAACAAGATCACGCTTCTCAAGCTCCGCGCGCGTGTGCTGCAACTCACGATAGTGCTGTATGAGGTGAATTGTCAGCGATACCGTTGTAATACCTAACAACGCCACAAAATTCGACGATATGACCGTTGCCTGCCACTGCAGAAATCCTAGGAAACCGACGGTATACAACACACCTATGGCAGCGGTGAGGATGGGTAAAACGACAAAACGGAGACTGCGAAAAAACATACCGAGCGCCAACGCCATCAGCGCAAGCACAGAGCCGCCAAATACCAGCAGATCCTGTTTAACGTAGGAAATCATGTCTGCAGCAATCATGGGCACGCCACCCAGATGCAGGGTGCCCTGATTGGCATACTTTTCCTTGACCTGACGTATCGCAGTAATCAGTTGTTCACGCTCGGCAAGGAAGCTTTCACGGCCGGCGTTGTAGGCGTCATTGGCAGCCTGCCACTCCGGGCCATCGATCTGGCCACTTGCGCGCAGCGCCTCTCGCTCTGCAGTAACTGCAATCAGTGTCTGGTCCGCTGCCAGCGTCACCTTGATGGCACTGGCAGTACCATCAGCAGTGATCAGCAATTCACGAAAGAATGGGCTGTTAACCAGTTCTTCCTGCGCCAGATCCAAATCAACATCATCAGCACGCAAGGTTCGAAAACCGTCGGCTAACTCCGCCAGACTCATCGGTGGGCTTTTCAACAGCGGCGCATCAAGAATACTGAAGACTGATCTGACGCCCTCAACCGCCGCCAGATCCGACGACAGTTGTTCAAGAACGCCTAACGAAGCTGCAGACACCGGCTGCAGGGATTCCGGGCGAAACGTGACAAACAGAAAGTCATCACCACCAAAGGTCCTGGCCACCTGCTCATAAGTGGCAAGATCCTTGTCACCCTGAACAACCAGATTTTCGGAAGAGGCATCGAAACGAAATTGCGTGGCGTAATACGCTGAAGCAAACAGCAGTACAACTGTTACCAGCATCATCAGCCACGGCCAGCGCAGATAACCGAATGTCATAGTCTGTGGCCTCAGGTGGTAATGATGACCCTGGCAGCTTGTGGCTCAAGGCTGGCCTGAGAAACGTGTTTCAAGACCTGCTCTTTTTGCTCGATAAAAAAAGCAATCTCTTCTTCACGAATAGCTGGATTCACTTTCTGCAGCTGTTGCAGCCGTGTAATTTCCCCACCAAGGATACTCTGCGCACGTTTAACAGCGGCTGCTTTGAGATCACCCTCACGCGGTTGCGTCAGTGCCTGCGCCTGGTTGAGCAAATCTGTTAGAGGTGCACGGATTTCCTTCAGAATAGCCGGCCGCATGACCTTCTTCACATGCTGGCACAATACGTTTAACTGCTCATGAGCAACGATACTGGTCAGATCACGGTTGCTGTTATCAAGCAGAATACGTACCGGTGTTGCAGGTAAAAACCTGCCCAGCTGCAGCTTCTTCGGCGCGCTGCAGTGCATGACAAAGTAACACTCGACTAAAAGCGTGCCTGGCGGCAGCGGTTTCAGCTTCATGGTAGCCATATTGGTGTTACCCAACTCTGAACCCAACACCATCTCCATAACGCCACTGACTATGGGTGACTCCCAGGTCAGAAACTCCATATCTTCGCGAACCAGCGCCATTTCCCGATCAAAGGTGATGGTGACACCTTCGTCACCCAATAACGGGAAAGAAGGCGTCAACATGTGCTCTGTGGGTCGCAATATCAGTGCATTCTCGGAGTGATGTTCCGTGTCAACGCCAAAAGTGTCACACACCTGAGTTATGTAGCTTTGCAGGTTTTCGTCTGCATCCGCCTGTGATATCACGTCGATAATCTGCTGAGCCACTTCGGGTTTACAGGAATTCAATTCCAGCAGCTGATCACGACCACTTTGCAGCTCTTCTCTCAGTGCCGTCGTAAACCCTTGCGTACGTTCTATCAGCGACTCTAAGCCTTCCGGGTCAACAACACCGTTTTCACCCATGTGGCTTTGCAGTGCTTCGCCAAACTCCTGCATCACGACGCCGCCGCCGGAGAAGCTCTGGGTGAAAGAGTTAAGTCCTTCGTGGTACCAGCGAAACAGCGTATGTTGTGCTGACCCCTGCACATAAGGCACATGAATCTGCACATCCGCGTTTTGCCCGATGCGATCAAGCCGGCCTATGCGTTGCTCAAGCAGATCTGGATTAAGCGGCAGATCAAACAGGACCAGGTGATGAGCAAACTGAAAATTTCTGCCTTCACTGCCAATTTCGGAACAGATCAGAACCTGCGCCCCAACCTCCTGGTCAGCAAAGTAGGCCGCTGCGCGATCCCGTTCGACAATAGAAAGGTCTTCGTAGAATGCTGTGCTACGGATACCCACATTGAGATGAAGATGACGTTCCAGATCTACCGCGGTTTGTGCCTGCGCACAGATCAGCAACACTTTTGAGCTTTTGTTTTTCTGCAGAAACGCTTCCAACCAGACCACTCTGGGGTCGTATCGCAGGCCGTCAGACTCCGTCACACCAATAACCTGCTGCGAGACAAGGTCCATCAGATTTGGAGCTTCAACATCATCGCTGGCAACCTGAAGGGCGTAATCGTGCACAACTCGCTGTGGAAAACCGTCTATCGCCGCGCGTGTATTGCGAAACAGCACCCGGCCCGTTCCGTGCCGATCCAGCAGCTGCTCGATCAACTGTTCTGAGGAAATTTTATCCGAGTACTCTATTGACGCCATCGAGCGCAACAGATCCTGCTGCGCCGGGGGCAGTACTTCTCCCTGTTGAATATTGCGGACCACTTCATTTAACACACCGTAGCCAGCCTGTTCCTCGATGAAAGCCTGCATGTCTGAGAAACGCGACGGATCCAGCAACCGCAGGCGGGCATAGTGACTTTCTACCCCCAGCTGTTCCGGCGTCGCGGTGAGCAGCAACAAACCAGGACAAACCGCCGCCAGGTCAGCAATGGTCTGGTATTCAATGCTGGGTTGATCAGGTTGCCACTGCAGATGATGAGCTTCATCAACCACAAGCATGTCCCAGCCCGCCTCAATTGCGAAGTCCGTTATCTGGGCATCTCCGGTCAACGTTTTCAGCCCGCACAGCACCAGCTGTTCGGTTTCAAAAGGATTCCCCTCTTCGCTATCGAGCAATGCCTGCAAGCGCGGCGCGTCAAACAAAGAAAAGCGTAGACCAAACTTACGCAGCATCTCAACCAGCCACTGGTGTAACAAAGCATCAGGTACAACTACCAGAACACGTGTTGCCAATCCACTGTGCAACTGGTGATGCATGATCAGGCCGGCTTCGATGGTTTTGCCCAGACCCACTTCATCCGCCAGCAGGACTCTTGGTGCATATCGTCGGGCTACTTCCTGGGCAATATAAATCTGGTGAGGCAACAGTGAAGTGCGCGGGCCTAACAGCCCTCTCGCCGGCGAGCTTTGTAACTCGTGCTGGTGCACCAGGCTGGCGACCCGCAGCGTATACTGATCGGACTTGTCAAATTGTCCGCTGAGCAGCCGCTGCTTTGGTGAACTGAGCTGCACCACGCCGGAAATCTGTGTTTCAGGTAGCTGCAGAACTTGATCGTTTTCATCCCGTCCGGTGTAAAACAGAAGACCATCTAGGTTTTCTACCTGCTCAACCATCACTGGTGTCTGTTCCGCGGTATGCACAATTTCACCCACGGCATAAATGATGCGCGCGAGCGGCGCATTATTCAGCGCGTACACCCGGTCTTCCTCCGCCACCGGGAAGCGCAACGTGACATGCCGCCCTTCTACGCCCACCACAATGCCTAAACCCAATTCCGATTCGGTTTGGCTCACCCAACGCTGACCTAAGACAAATTCCATAACACCGCTTTGTTAAACTGATAAATGTTGGGCACTATGCAGATCTCTGCCACATCACCCAAAAAAAGGGGCTGGATTCTAGCAGACCTAAGCAACAGGTATTAGAGGTCTGTGATTAAAACTATGGCTATATCGAAAACACCGCGGACAGACGCTTCGAAATTCTCAGGATCAAAGTCGCACCGTCAACTGGATGAGGCTTACGAACTGAGCCCGGAACAGCTGGATTTCTATCACACGAATGGCTTTATTCGTCTGAAAAACGTGCTGGATAGCGACTCAATTGCCTACTACAACATCGTTATTACCGAAGCGGTCCGCAGTTGGACCCCCGCTATATTTCTTGCACAGTTGCGCAACGATTGTGGCCCGGAACTGGCTGACAAGCTCAGGCCTTACCTTCTCGCAACAACAGCCCAGGGCGCCACAGATACCTATAGCCGGGCATTTACCCAGAGGATGAACCTTTGGCGCCACCATGCTGAGATAGAAAAGCTGGTGCGCAGCAAGCGCCTGGCAAAACTGGCTGCCGATCTGATGCAGGTGGATGGTGTGCGCCTGTACCATGATCAAGCATTGTTTAAGGAGGCACAGGGCGGCTACACACCCTGGCATGTTGATCAGTTCTACTGGCCACTGTCGAACAACAACACCATCACGCTGTGGATACCGCTGCAGGCTGTCAGTGCGCACATGGGACCGCTGGCCTTCGCAGCAGGTTCCCACCAGGCCATGCCTGAACAGGCCGCAGATCTTGGCATTTCGGACAAATCTGAACAGATGCTCAACAGCCTGATGAAGAATTTTGAATACATTAATGCACCGTTTGACCTGGGCGAAGTGAGTTTCCATAGCGGCTGGACCTGCCATCGGGCTGATGGCAATAAAAGTGACCAGACCCGCGCCGCGTTTTCGCTCATCTACATGCAGGACGGCATTCGCATGAGTACCCCCAAGCATCGAAATCACGCCATGGACGCGCAGATGTGGCTCCCCGGCATACAAAGCGGTGAAGCAGCCGCTTCACCCATCAACCCCGTGCTGTTCTCACGCAGCCTCAACCATTAATCTGATCGCACCTTGATAAGCACCACAAACAGGTAAATTCATGGACTACTTACTTGATCGCGACTGGCGCTCGCCGATCCGTTATCCCGACCCTGCCATTGAAGTCCTGGACCAGGCTTTTCGCCAGTACGTGCTGGCTAGCGCAGCGTTGGAACGCATCTGGACAGGCGGTCGCTGGACCGAAGGTCCTGTATATTTCGGTGATTTACGCAGCCTCATCTGGAGTGATATTCCCAACAACCGAATGATGCGTTGGGATGAGACCAGCGGCGAAACCTCTGTTTTCAGGGCGCCTGCCGACTATGCCAACGGCAATACCCGGGACCTGCAGGGTCGGTTAATCACCTGTGAACATGGCAGCCGGCAGGTCACCCGCACAGAGCACGATGGCACGGTAACTGTGCTGATCAAACACTTCGACGGGAAGCGGCTGAACGCGCCAAACGATGTGGTGGTCCATCCCGATGGTGCCATCTGGTTCACTGACCCCGGCTACGGTATTCACTGGCACTACGAAGGCCACAAAGCGCAGTTCGAACTGCCCACACGAATCTATCGCCTCGATCCCGACAGCGGTGCAGCTACAATCGTGGATGAACAGCTCAACAAACCCAACGGACTGGCCTTCTCCCCGGATTATAAAAAACTCTACGTTTCCGATACCGGTGCATCACATACTCCGGGGCATCCACGAGCGATCCACGTGTTCGACGTCATCGACAATGAACGCTTGAGCCCACCTACGCAGTTCTGCGACTTTGAAACTGCCGGGCCTGATGGCTTTCGCGTAGATACGCAGGGCAACTTATGGTGCGGGGCTGCCTGGGGCGACGCTGGCGCAGACGGTGTATTTGTCTACGCGCCAAACGGTAAAAAGATTGGCGCGATCCACCTGCCCGAGGGGGTATCAAACGTTTGTTTTGGGGGACCGAAGCGCAACCGCCTGTTCATGACTGGGTCGCAGTCCGTTTATGCACTTTATGTTGACGCTCAGGGTATGCCCTACCCGGGATAACCAGGCCAATCAGACCACTGACAGGGGTCTTTAACTCGGCGGCCTGTCATGCAGAACCCCCTGCTCCTGCAGCGTGGACACCTGTTCATCCGTGTAACCCAACCAGTGGGTCAGCACACTATGATTATCAGCACCGAGGTCCGGACAGGGCAGCCATTGTCCCGGGTCCAAACCAGGCATATGAATTGCATTGCCCGGCATCGGCGTATTGAAACGCTCCAGAGGCTGAAAAAAATTTCGCGCCTTTACCTGTTCGTCATCCAGCATTTCAGCTGCATTATTAACCGGTCCCGCAGGTATGCCGCTGGCTTGCAGTATCTCTGCCGCTGCATTTTTTTCCAGCGATGCTGTCCACACGCCGATCGCTTTATCTATGGTTTGCCTTGCCTGCAGGCGTTGTCTTAAAGACCAGGCATCATCAAGACCCTTTACAAGCTCACAAAGCTGCTGCCATTGCACTTCTGTCTGACAGGCCAACGCCAGCCAGTTATCTTCACCCTGACAGGGATACACCCCGTGTGGTGCCAGTCGAGGATGCGCATTGCCCTGACACACCGGCGTCTCACCGAGTTGGGTGTCTATTAACCAGGGTCCGTTATAGGCCACCCCGGTTTCGTGCAAACTCAGTTCAACATAGGCTGCTTTACCGTCAAGCTGGCGTTTGCGCAAGGCCTGCACAACGGCGCTGGCCGCGTGAGTTGCAGCGATCGGATCCATCAACGCCATTGCGGAATTCACCGGCGTAGCGGCATCGTAACCCAACATTTTTGAAAAGCCGGTCATCGGTTCAACGATCGGGCCGAATGCCACCCTGCGATGGTAGGGACCGCTGGCGCCAAACCCAGGCATGGAGACATAGATAATCTGTGGATTCGCCTGCTTCAGCACCTCAAAGTCCAACCCCATCGCCGGCATTGCTCTGGCGCTGAAGTTCTCGATAATGACATCAGCCACCGTAACCAGCGCCAACAGCAGATCACGCCCCTCCCGCTGCTTTAGATCAACGCAAACACTCTGACGATTGCGGTGCAGCTTGTTGAAGACGGCGTTGACGTTCCAGGGTTCTTCACCGGCTTCACCACCCAGCCAGCCACCAATAGGTTGTGAAGGGAATACCTGAGAGCCGCGCCCGTAAGGTGCTTCAATTTTAACCACATCAGCGCCCAGGTCGGCCAGAAAGCGTACCGCCAGCGGCCCAGCCCAGACATGGGTCAGATCTAACACCTTCACGCCGTTCAGCGGCCCGTTTACCGGCAGTTTTACCATGACACCGCACCCTTTGCCGCGGTTGCGGATACCTCTGCCTGCAGAAAAGGATACGCCGGTGTATAAACTGGTTCACCGGAGTCCGTCAGCAGCGTCTGCCAGAACTGACGCGCCTGCAGATGCGGATCCGCCAGTACCTGCTCGAAGGACAGAACAACACCCAGAGGGATACGGCAGGATTCAGCTTTATCGATCAGGTAGTCCATTGAGTGCCGGGCTAGCTCATGCGCTATCAGTGTATGCAAAGCGTCCCGATTGGCCATGCGCAAATCGTTGTTTTCAAAGCGTGCATCCATCAGAAGCTCTGGCTGGTCAAGAAAAACAGTCAGTGGGTCCCAGAAGGCAGGCACTATGTTCAGATATACCCACCCATCTGCACAGGCAAACAGCTGACTCGGAACCACAAACCAGAAGTCACTGCCGTGACGCGAACGCAATTCGCCCGCACAGTGCCAACGTACTGTGGTGAACTGCGACAGCGACATCAAAGTTTCCAGCTGCCCGATGTCTATCTGCGTCGTTTGCCCTGCCCAACGCGCGGAGTTTGCGGCGGTAAATGCCAGCGCGCCGGTTTGAAATTCCAGATAGTGACCGGGCAGGCTGAGTGGCGCACGATCCGGCTCACCGATTAAATGGGTATAGCCACCCATTGCCAGCAACACGTTGGCACTCGCCCGCCAGTTGGCTTTCGGTCCGGTGCGACCAAAGGGCGTGAGTGCTACTTTCACCGGCGACGTCCAGAGGTCAAACCCAAGCTGATCAAGTTCGTCTGCCGTGTCCGCTTCACAAACCACGACATCAGCTTTACCCGCGAGTGCTGCCAGCAGATCGAGATCGCTGGTAGCAATCTTGCGTTTCTGCGGGTGCAGGAACAGATCCATGGCTTTTTCACTCGCCCAGGCTGGAGAGGGTTCGGTCAACTCCAGCCGCACAACATCCGCCCCGGATGCAGCAAACAACTTGCCGCAGTAGCCCGCCGCATAACCGCCAATTTCCAGCACTTTATCCATCTCTGTGGAATACCCTTTGCACTTACCTGCCACCTGTCTGATCACAGCGTTATATAAGTTCACCCGGTTGTCCAACGCTGGATTTGTATGGGCTTACAGGGCAAGTCCACGAGCACGTGCCTGCTGTTCTACCTTCTGTTATGTTTCTTGGTAATCGATTTCGAACTGACGATGACACCATGAGGCCAGAGTATTGAAGAAGAAAAGAGTCGGCATTCAATTGCCAAAACAGGCACGCAATCAGACTGTCGAAGAACGTTATTCTCTCGAACTTGAAGCGTTAGCACCGATTGCCGAGATCATCGATGTGCCGGCAGATACCCCAGCGGAGTTTGCCGCCGGCGTACGGGACATGGATGCCATTATCACGTCCTGGGGTTTGCAGATCGACCAGCAGGTCATCAGTAATCTCAAACAATGTGTCGTTATTGGTGTCGGCAGCGTCGGCGTGGATATGGTGGATATTGCAGCTGCCACCCGGGCCGGGATAGTGGTGACCAACGTGCCGGATATTTTTATTGAAGAAGTCGCCGATCACGCCATGGGATTACTGTTGGATCTGGCCCGACGCACACCCACCATGGTGCGCATGGCGAAGTCCGGCGACTGGTATCAGGCACGACCGCTGTTAAGCAAAATTCCACGACTTTACGGGCAGACGCTGGGTCTGTTTGCCTTTGGCAACGTTGCCCACTGTATGGCCCGCAGGGCAAAAGCATTTGGCCTTAACGTTATCGCGTACGACCCTTACGTGAGCGAGCTGGAGATCACCGGCGCCGGGGTTGAACCGGTCAGCTTCGATGAGCTCCTGGCGCGCAGTGACTATCTTTCGATCCACTCTCCGCACAATGAAGAGACCGAGCATGCCTTTGATCAGAACGCGTTTGCCCGGATGAAAAATACAGCAGTCATCATCAACACAGCGCGCGGCCCGATGATCGACGAAGCCGCTCTGATTGCCGCACTAGGCGCGGGGGAAATAGCCGGAGCAGGTTTGGATGTACTCGAGCAGGAACCACCAGAACTGGATAACCCATTGTTTTCAATGGAAAATGTGGTAGTCACACCACACGTAGCTTCAGCCACTACGCGGATGCGGCCGGAGACCCGACGACGGGTCGGCCGCGAAGTTGCGCTGGTGCTGCGCGGGCGCTGGCCGATGAGTTGCGTGAACCCAACGGTCCTGCCGAAGGTCGCCCTGGAGCGCTGGCAGCCCTACCCGATGAGCAGAGGGCCTAATCGCTAGAGGTCTTTTCCGGCTTATCTTTACGGAAAGCCAGCGGAATTTTAGGGTCACTGACCAGACCCACCGCCTGCAACATACGAATCAACACCCAGGTGGCATCAACCTGCCACCATTCCAGACCATGACGTGCGGAACTGGGGAATTTGTGATGGTTGTTGTGCCATCCCTCACCAAAACCCAGCACCCCGATGAACACGTTATTGGTGCTGGCATCACCTGCGTCATAGGGACGAGATCCCCAGCGGTGACAGACTGAGTTCACCATAAACGTGACATGCCAGGTAAAGACTGTGCTGATGAAAAAGCCCCACACCACCATTTGCAGACCAGAAGTATTGTAAGCCTCACCCAGCCAGGCGCCCAGGGCGTACATCAACACCGGCTGAATAATGATCAACCAGACGTAATGGCGCTGCAGAAATTTGATCTCCGGGAATTTATGCAGATCCCGTGAATTGGTGCCTTTCTCGTTAAACGCCGCATCCGTCATCATCCAGCCCATATGCGCCTTCCACATACCGTGGGTCACAGGTGAATGTATATCTTCTTCAGTTTCAGTGGCCGCATGGTGATGACGGTGATGCGCAACCCACCATAAAGGCCCGCCTTGAACCGCCAGACTGCCCGCCAGCGCAAACAGAAACTGTACGGGCCTACTGGTTTTAAATGAGCGATGTGCAAGCAGGCGATGGAAGCCGGTCGTAACACCCATGCCACGGAATACGTACATCGCGAAGGCGACGGCAAACGCCGCCCAACTGACCCCAGTATAAAATGCGCCCAGGCAGGCCAGATGGAATACGCTCATACCTATGATGACGCTCCAAACCTGGGAGCGCGCGCGCGGAACTTCCTGAGTCATTTCAGCCATGACGTTAGTATGCCCTCCAAGGCAGATCGGTACTTACGCGGATGTTAACCATTATCGTTGCCGACTACCACGCGGGTTCTACGTATTTCCACGGGATCTTTAAACCGGCTCACGCTGTCCGACAAAACCTTCCCCTCAGGCTTTGACTGCCAGACCGTGGATCATGAACGCGGCAAATTTAGGACCGTCAACATAGCCCCTTTCCTGCGCAGATATTTTGAATCCCGCATCCACCAGCAACTCTTCAGGTCGGCGGGTCAAATGACAGCCGCCGCCTATCTTCTTCCAGATGGGTTCAATGCGACGCTGCCATTTCACCACTTTAGGTTCATCAGAACGGCCATGTTCAACAAAGATCATCTGGCCACCCGGTTTTAACACACGATACATCTCTGCCACTGCGCGGTATGGATTAGGGATACTGCATAAGGTCCAGGTACAGACAATGGTGTCAAAAGAATTATTGTCCAGATCCAGAGCTTCCCCGGAAATGCCCAGCACCGATACCGGCACCGATAGCGCATCCGCGCGCTCAGCCGCTTTCGCGGTTAACTCCGCCGCAGGATCAACGCCGGTAATAGAGGTAACCCCTTCGCCATAATGAGCAAGGTTCAACCCACTGCCGATCCCAATCTCAAGCACCTCACCGGTGGCCTGGCTAACATACCGATTGCGCAGCTTGGACATGGGTGGCTGCGAACAGGCCGCGTCGATCAGTCGGGGCAGTACATACTTTTCGTACAGGTTAGGCATCAGGGGTCTCACTGGTGATTCTATTTCTGAAAGCTTGGACGATCAGCTGAGCTGATTCTATGGGCGCATGGCGGGCTGTATCAATACAAATGATTGGCCTGGGTAATGGCGGAAAATCAAAACCACCGGCGCTCTTTATGGAAGCATACAACGCTTTATCCAACAACTTTCCGAACGCTGCGCGACTCGGCTCGTTCAGCCGCTCACTCACGGATTCATCATCACACTGCAATTCTACAAAATGCACCTGACCCGACGCTGCATAGACGGGGGCCAACATTTCTTCGAGCAATGAATAGGTTACTGTTGCCTCGGGAGTGAAAGTGAAAATAAACGATTTTCTGGCCTGCGCTGCTGCCGCAAAACAATTTCGCCATAACACGCCACGCAGCGCTACGAACTCTGGCGTTCCAAAATCAAACAAAGTCCGCGCAGCGTCTACCACCAGATGATTATGAAACAGCGGCAGGCCCAGCATTGAGCTGAGCAGACTGCCAATCGTATATTTTCCCGATGCCGCCGGGCCATGCAGAAAAAATACGTCAAATCTGTGTTCTGCCGCGTCCGACTCCATCGCCACGTTAATGCATCCTGATTATTGGTAAACATCCCCTCTCCTGACAGACAGTGTCAGGAGTGTTGTCCGCGAGACCTTGTCGCGTGGACCATATCGCCGTAAGTTGCCTGTCATTCTTCGGAGGAAAGCCATGAACAATGACCAGAGCGTAGCAAATGCACACACCAACGTCCCCGCGATGACACTGGTGACCCTCGGCGGGGCTTTCGATATGCGCAACGTCAGCCCGTTCTGTTTGAAAATTGAAATGCTGATGCAATCTCTCGGACTCAAATTTGATCTTGCAGAGCAACCAGACCCCCGCAAGGCACCCAAAGGCAAATTGCCTTACCTGGAAGTGGATGGCAAAACCCTGCCCGATTCAGAATTGATCACCGAATACCTTAACGAAATCACCCATGGCGCCGTCTACGCCGGTCTCACAAGCCAACAGCAGGCCTATGGGGTCGCACTGGCTCGTCTGGCTGAGGATCATTTATATTGGTTAATGGTTGCCAGTCGCTGGCTCGACGATAGCTGGTGGCCAAATGTCGTAGACGGTTTTTTCCATATCGCGCCAGCAATTATTCGACCGCTGGTCGCAGGTGCTGCACGACGGCAGGTCCGTCAGACCTACGACCTGCAGGGCCTTGGGCGACACAGCATCAGCGAACAACGCGGCTTTGCCGAACGGGATCTGCAAGCCCTGCAGGATGCGGTGGCAGATCAGAACTTTCTGTTCGGCGACACCCCAAATATTTTTGATTTCACGGTGGCCGGCGTGATGTCAGGCATTTACGATAACCGGCCACCGACCTGGTTAACCGAGATGGCGCAGAATTACTCGAAACTGCAGGCCTATACCGAACGGGTGCAGGCACACACGGGCATTTACGGAAGGAAGTAGTCGAATGATGGATTTTAAGGTCGCAAGCAACGTAGCCACTATTGGCATGGATGACGGCAAAGCCAACGCAGTTGGGCATAACTTTATCGACAACATGAATGAGGCCCTGGACCGTGCTGAAAAGGAAGCCCAGGCAGTACTGATCACTGGACGAGAAGGCGTCTTCTCAGGTGGCTTTGACTTGAAAGAGTTTGCCAAAGGGGTAGATGCAACCAATGCGTTGGTGAACAAAGGTGCAGCAATGTTGTTGCGTCTATTCAAACATCCACAACCTCTTGTTGTGGCCTGTGCAGGCCATGCGGTAGCAGCAGGCGCATTTACCCTGCTGGCAGCAGACACGCGAATCGGCGTCAGTGGACCTTTCAAGATAGGTTTGAATGAAACCGTGATCGGCATGACCCTGCCTACGTTCGGCCTGCAGCTGGCCGCCGCGCGTCTGTCCAAACGCTTACAGACAAAGGCCACCATACAAGGCCATCTTTTTGCGCCAGAGGAGGCTTTGGATGCAGGTTTTCTTGATCAGGTGGTATCACCAGACTTGCTGATCGACACAGCTTTTTCAATTGCAGTGGAGCTTGCCCAGTTGCCTACCGGGGCTTATGCGGCAAACAAGCTGGCGGTACGAGCACCTTATATTGCAGTTATTGAGTCCAGCTTAGGATGATCCAGCTGATTAAAGCCAGACTGGCCCTGTCATCACTCAAGAATTCTGTTGGACGTCTTCCGGCACGCTGAAAAAAGCACCCCGCTTGGGCTCTTTCTTCTCTTTGAACTGGTCACAACCTTCCGCTTTGAGCAGACAGCTGTAACAGGAAAGAATCGGTATCATCAGAAAAGCTGACAGCAACATACCTAAGCCTTCAAGCGCAGCACCGGTTTTGTGCCATTGCGCCTCAAAGTGAGGCGCCATGGTAAAGAAGCCGGCGAAGTAGAAAAACATAATGGCGGTAGTACCTACGGCGAGTACACGCGCTGTATTAATACCCATGCCACCGGACTTAACCGTGGCTAACGCAAAAAAAGCGCCGAGACCGTAGACAAAGATAAAATGCAGGTGATTAGGTATAAACGCGTGCAGCACCGCAAATACCAGCAGTACACATCCAATTATCGCGTTCACAGTTCGCATTCAGATCACACTCCACAAAATTGTTCGGGCTAAATCTTCACCACAACCGACACCTGGGCTACATCGTGCTAGATGCAGGTGCACTCGCTATATTTTCCGCAGTCTTTCTGTCTACTGGCATATCCATATACCTGATTCATTGTTTTGGATGGGGTAAATAGAGTCAACCATTATGTTACCCAAAGTGACATATTCATTGTAAAAATAGCGCTTTTTAGCGCCTTTTAATCTTTTAAACTATTCATTATATCGAAATAGAATAAAATTCCAGGCAACAAACCCGAGCACACCAGATACTCGCGACTCACCCGATTTTAGCTGATTGGCCACCATCGACTGGCAATGCCACCCCGGTAATGAATTTGGCTTCATCTGATGCCAGGAACAGTGACGCGTTTGCAATGTCCCAGGCGCTCCCCATCTGCCCCAGCAAGGGGACTGCTGCGTTGCGGCGAGCAATGACAGTTTCACGATCCTGACCACTGGCCACATAGCCTTCAATGGCCATGGGCGTTTCAATCAGCCCGGGCATAATCACATTAGCGCGAATGCCGAATCGAGCGTTGCTCATGGCTAACGCCTGGGTATAGGCATTCAGCCCTGCTTTCGAGACTTTGTAAGCTGTTATGTTTGTCGCCGCAGCGATAGCTGCGACCGACGAAATATTGGTGATAACACCTCGGTTCACGGCGCGCATATGCGGCAGAACGGCTTTACACATCAACATCACCGACGTGGTGTTGGTGGCCAGTATTTTATCCCACACCTCTTCCGTTAGCCGCGCCGGGCTGGCATCTCCTGTACCTATTCCAACGTTGTTCTGCAGCACATCGATGACACCGAATTCAGCCATGATCTGAGCAATACAGGCATCAATCTCATCAGCTTGAGTCACGTCGAGTGCATAGGCTTTCGCCCGACCACCCTCCTCCTCAATCAAGGCTACAGTCTCCTCCGCAGATGAGAGTCGTTTGTCCAGCACCAGCACATGGGCACCTTCCTGGGCAAAACGCAAAGCAGTGGCGCGCCCATTCCCCAGGGTTGCCCCTGGCGTCTGTCCACCGCCACTGACCACGGCAATCCTGTTATCTAAACGTCCCACCCAGGTAATCCTTCGTCAAGTTGTACACCAAAACTATTCAGCGCCATGCAGACCAGGTTGTACTGCCCGACCGTGAACACCAGGTCCATAAGCTGTTGCGTATTGTAGTGCTGCTGTAAACTCTGCCAGGTTATATCACTGACAAACGCGTCTGCGTGCAGCTCGTCTGTGGCCTCCAACAACAGCTTGTCCAGCGCAGATAAGCCAGCTGTATCGGGGCCGGTTCGGGCGCTGCGGATTTCCTCATCAGACATGCCGGCCTGACGCGCAATCTGGACGTGCTGTCCCCACTCATATCCTGCCTGGCAGAGCCAGCCGATGCGCAGAATCAGTAACTCACGATCGCGTACACTCAGCGTAGATTTACCCAGAATGTGATTGGCAAAAACCATCCAGCGCTTTGCCAGTGCCGGGTGATTAGCGAGGGTGCGAAATATATTGAAAACACGCCCCTGCTTCACAAATGGCGCCAGCAACTCCTGCGCTTCTGTATCCCATTCCTGTTCATTGAGTGCCTTCACCCGTGATTGTTTTAACCGCATATTATCTCCCCTGACGACTGCGTTGATATCAAAGTAAACTAGAGCCCAAATGATGTATACAGGCAAGCAGGATGAATATTGAGGTCAACAGGCACAATCGGATAACCGTCATCACCATCAACCGACCCGCAGCCCGCAACGCAGTCGACGGACCAACGGCTACGGAACTGGCAGAGGCATTTAAGTCCTTCGATGCAGACCCCGGTGCTGACGTTGCCATTTTAACCGGTGCCAGTCAGACCTTCTGTGCCGGCGCTGATCTGAAAGCCGTGGCTACGGGTGACGGCAACAGGGTTTCGACCAGAGGTGATGGCCCGATGGGTCCTACACGTATGCTGTTGTCGAAACCTGTGCTTGCCGCGGTAGAAGGTCACGCTGTGGCTGGCGGCCTGGAGCTTGCAGCCTGGTGTGACTTGCGTATAGCTGCAGAAAACGCAGTGTTCGGCGTGTACTGCCGACGCTGGGGTGTACCACTGGTTGATGGGGGCACTATTCGCTTAACCCGCCTGCTGGGAACAAGCCGCGCCATGGATTTAATCCTCACGGGTCGCGGCATCAGTGGCGAAGAAGCCCTGCAGATGGGCCTGGTCAATCGCCTGAGCAAACCTGGCCAGGCGCTGAACGATGCATTGGCCCTGGCAGAGCAGTTGTGTCAATTCCCACAAAACTGCATGCGCAGCGATCGCCTGAGTGCCTATAAACAATGGGATCAACCACTGGAAAGTGCGCTCATACAGGAAACCGAACTGGGTCTTGCGGTCATCAAAAGTGGCGAAACCGCCGCCGGCGCCGCACGCTTCGCTGCAGGCAAAGGACGTCATGGTGATTTTAAAGAGATTTAAGGCAAACTCTGCTCAGTTAATCGGGCGCACATCGTAACCTTGCGCTTCCAGCACCTGAGTCACATTGTCTTTCTGCTCTTCGCCGCGCATCTGCAGTACCAGTTCAACCAGTGTTGCGCGAACAGACGATCCACCAAAGGCGCGTTGATGACTGATATCAACAATATTCGAATCCAGATCGCCAAGCAGTGTTGTCAGATTAGCCAGGGCACCGGGTGTATCCGGAATTTCAATCTCCAGTCGTACCAGTCGATGTGAACGCACCAGTCCACGCTGCAATACCGAAGACAGAATCATCATGTCGATGTTACCGCCACAAACAAGCATCCCCACGCGCTTACCCCGAAAAGCAGCCGGCTGATTACGCACCAGCGCCAGGCCAGCGGCACCCGCACCTTCCGCAACTGTTTTTTCAATCTCCAGAAGATCAAATATAGCCTGCTCAACCATCTGTTCACTGACGAGCTGGATGTCATCCACCAGGTCATTAATGATGGCACTGGTCAACACACCGGGCGCTTTGACAGCAATACCTTCAGCTACGGTGAAGCCATGGCTGACGTTCGCCTGGGGCTGTTTATGAAAAGCCGCATACGCGTTGGCAAAACGCTCCATCTGGACCCCAACCACCTGTATTTGTGGCGCTACAGATTTCACTACCGTTGCTATGCCGCTGATCAGACCACCGCCGCCAATCGGCACAACAATCACATCCAGGTCCTTGACCTGAGCAAGCATTTCCAGAGCCACGGTGCCCTGCCCGGCAATCACATCGGGCTCATCAAATGGATGAATCAGTGTTATACCGCGCTGTTGGGCAAGATCTTTGGTGAACTGCAATGTTTCATCAAAGGTACTACCCTGCAGAATCACTTCCGCACCTAACATGCGGGTGGCTTCTACTTTTGCATTAGGTGTCGTGCGGGGCATGACAATCGTTGTTGGAATACCCAGACGAGTACCGTGGTACGCCAGTGCCTGGGCATGGTTTCCCGCCGACATAGCCGTCACACCACCCGCTACGGCCGCAGGATTTTTCAGCAGACTATTTAGCGCTCCACGCTCTTTAAATGAGGCCGTGAACTGCTGGTTTTCAAACTTAATAAACAGCTCGCAGCGTAACTGCGCAGAGAGCGTCTGTGACTGGGTAAACGGCGTTTTAATCAGATGCCCAGCCAGACGCTGCGCCGCTGCTTCAACATCAGTAAGGGTAATGGCCATAGGCTCAGATTCATACATTCAACAGGCGCGCGAGTATACTGCGGCTTTGATTTGTATACAGCGTTTGAACTTGAAACATCTTTTACTCGTCTACCACAGCAAAACCGGAAATACCCAGGCAATGGCTAATGCGATTGCCGAAGGTGCGCGCCACCAGGACGTTGCAGGTGTTGAACTGCGTTTTTTACGCGCAAATGAAGCAGGGCCGGAAGATCTGTTGTGGGCCGATGGCTTGTTGATTGGCTCACCGGAAAATTTTGGTTACCTGTCCGGCATGATCAAAGACTTTCTGGACCGGACATTTTACGAAGTGGAGGGTAAATTATCCCCATTGCCTTATGCAGTGTTCATTTCCGCCGGCAACGACGGCACCGGCGCTATCCGGGCATTGGAGCGTATCGCAAACGGCTATCCTTTTGTTAAGGTGCAGGAGCCATTGATCAGTCGTGGTGAGGTCACCGAGGCAGATCTGAATGCCTGTCGAGAGTTGGGGTTAACTCTGGCAGCCGGCCTTGAACTGGGTTTGTACTGAAACGACCACCACACGTGGCACTAGCCACAGCAATCAAGCAACGACATTCACAGCAGTAAAATACATTGTCAGACATAACCGCCCGCATTCTCCACAACATCAACGAAATGCCCGCAGAACAATGGGACAGCTGCCACGCCCGCCAGATTTATAACCCCTTTGTCACACACAAATTCCTGCACGCGCTTGAGAGCAGCGGGTCGGTAAGCACCGAAACCGGCTGGCAACCTTTTCACATAGCGGTTGAAGACAACGACGCGCTGGTCGGGGTGGTGCCTGCCTATTTAAAAAATCATTCCCAGGGGGAATACGTCTTTGATTACGGCTGGGCAGATGCCTGGCATCGTGCGGGGGGCGACTATTATCCGAAGATGCAGATCAGTATTCCGTTTACACCTGCCACAGGCCCCCGCCTGCTGACTCGCACAGACAATCCGGAACATGAACAACTGTTGCTCGGCGCTTGTATGCAGATTGCCCGACAGATTGAAGTGTCCTCAATCCACATCACGTTTATGCAGGAGCAGCAGTGGCGCAGTGCTGCCACCGCAGGCTTTCTGCAGCGTATGGACCAGCAGTTCCACTGGCACAACGGCGGCTATGAAGATTTTGACGGCTTCTTAGCGGACCTGGCATCAAAGAAACGCAAAAACATCAAACGTGAAAGGCGTGATGCGCTGGCTGACGGTATTGAAATCGAGTGGGTAACCGGCGAGCACCTCACCGAGGCACACTGGGATGCGTTTTATCACTTCTACATGGATACCAGTAATCGCAAATGGGGCAGCGCCTACCTCAACCGCCAGTTTTTCAGTCAGATCAATGATGTCATGGCCGAGGATATCCTGCTGATCATGGCTAAACGCGATGGACGTTATATTGCCGGAGCCATCAATTTCATCGGTGGTGATACCCTCTTCGGTCGCAACTGGGGCTGTATCGAAGACCATCGCTTTCTGCATTTCGAGGTGTGTTATTACCAGGCTATAGACTTTGCCATCAGTCGCGGTCTGAAAAAGGTGGAAGCTGGGGCACAGGGCGCACATAAAGTGGCGCGGGGATACTTGCCTGAACCTACCTACAGTGCCCACTGGATTGCAGACGCCAGTTTCCGTGAAGCGGTTGAACGCTTTGTGAACGATGAACGACGTTACGTCAGGGAAGACATTGCCCACCTCGAGACACGCACGCCATTCAAGTCCAGCACAGACCTGCAGGCATTGCGCAAACTCAGTTTGTCTGAGCAGAATAAAACGTCATAAATTCAGCAACATAAGCCTTGAATCTACGGACGTTATCAGGACCCATACGTAACAGTTGTTTATCCAGCTCAGAGCGACTTTCCAACTCGGGATCGGCATACAGATACATCACATTCGGCTGCACCAGCATCACTGGCGCATCAAGCACAGGTAACGCCTCAATCTGGCTGGCCGCCGCCTGTAAAGTGTTCTGCAGCGGTGTGCGCTCACCCAATAGCGCAAAAGCTTGCACCAAGAGCGGCTCCATCTGATTCAACAACTGCGCCGCGCGAGCTGGCGGCATCTTTTCAAGTAAATCCAGATAAGGGGTATACCGCGCATAACCCGCAGGGTCTGCAAAGATTACTTCGCCGTCTTTCACCACCGGAAAAACCTCGCTGGGTGCCAGAAAACTCAGCTGGCGCCGGGGTAGTTGTCCCTGGGCTGCGTTCTGCAGCACGACGGACAGACGCGCAATGAGATCTTCTCGCGCCAACCATTCTGCTGGAAGCGACCATTCCCCGAGGGATTCACGCACCCAGGCATCACTTTCAGACAACAATGGGAGCGTCGGCTCCGGGAGCGCGTCTGCGGATCTGACATCAACGCTTTCAACCACCGGCGCCTGGTTTGTCATATTCTGAACCGGCAGGTTTTCAGCTGGCGTCGACATTTCATCCTGAGGCATCACTTGATCTTCAGCTGCCTCGTCACCGTGCGGCCAGAACTGGATACCCAGAATAATGATCAGCGCCGCACCGACCCCGGCCAGAAGGAAACCCGTTCGCATGACTATGCCCCCATCAAGTTCTGATAAAACTGTATAACGCCAAAGTTCGGAACTTTGGACCTCATGTACCGCCTCCGGGTTCAATCGGATACCTCACCGGTTAATTCCACCGGCGCATCTGTGGCCGCTTTGAATTATCATAGGCGGCTACCTCATCCATCTATCACCTGAGTATGACCGAAGTAAAACAGACCGCCATCGCCCAACTCCTGGATCACACCATCGCCCTCGGCAGCCTTGTCGAGATTCGCGGTTGGGTGCGATCACGTCGCACCTCCAAAGGCGGCTTTTCTTTCATCCATCTGCACGATGGCTCCTGTTTCGATTCGATACAGGCCGTTGCGGATGGCGCACTGCCTAATTACGAAAACGAGATCGCTGAACTGGTGACAGGCTGTTCAGTCATTGTCCGCGGCGAACTGGTTGAGTCCCAGGGCAAAGGCCAGGATCGTGAAATCCAGGCCAGCGAAGTTGAAGTTGTCGGCTGGGTCGACGACCCGGAAACCTACCCGATCAGCAAAAAACGTCACAGCTTCGAATTTTTGCGTGGGGTTGCTCATCTACGACCTCGCACCAATACATTCGGCGCCATGGCTCGCGTACGGCACGCCATCGCTCAGGCGGTGCACAGCTATTTTGACCAACAGGGCTTTTTCTGGGTCAACACCCCCATCATTACCGCCAGCGATTGTGAAGGTGCCGGTGAGCTGTTCCGCGTCTCGACCCTGGATCAGATGAATCTACCCAAAGGCGGTTATAGCGAAGACTTTTTTGGTACCGAAGCGTTTCTCACCGTGTCAGGACAATTGAACGTAGAAAGCTATGCCTGCGCACTGTCGAAAGTCTACACCTTCGGGCCAACCTTTCGTGCTGAGAACTCCAACACCAGCCGCCACCTGGCGGAATTCTGGATGATAGAACCGGAGGTGGCGTTTGCAGATCTGGCCGCCAATGCGCAGCTGGCAGAACACTTTCTGAAAGCGGTGATCAAACAGATCACGATGAGGTGCCAGGACGATATGGCATTTTTCGCGCAGCACATTGATCAGGGCCTGACCGAGCGACTGCAGCATGTGATGGATAAACCATTTGAGATCATGACCTACACAGATGCGGTCAAACTGCTGCAGGAAAGCAAGCAGAAATTTGAGTATCCGGTGCAATGGGGCCTTGATCTGCAGTCGGAACACGAACGGTTCATTACCGAAACGGTCATTGGTGGTCCGGTTGTGGTGACCGACTATCCCAAGGAAATCAAAGCGTTTTACATGCGTGTGAATGACGATGAAAAAACCGTAGCCGCTATGGATGTGCTGGTTCCCGGTGTCGGTGAAATTATTGGCGGTAGCCAACGCGAGGAACGTCTTGACGTACTCGACAGCCGCATGGACGACGAAAAACTTAAGCAGGAGCTGTGGTGGTACCGTGATCTGAGACGCTACGGCACGGTTCCTCACGCAGGGTTTGGTTTGGGTTTCGAGCGCCTGGTGTTGTACCTGACAGGTATGGAAAACATCCGCGATGCTATTCCGTTTCCACGCGTACCCAATAACGCGGGCTTCTGAAGCAACTTATTTATGTTTGCATCCCTCTGGCGATTGCGCGTCTTCATCAAACCTTACAGCTTCGGCTGGTTCGCCGGTATCGTTGCGTTTGGTGTCGCGCGTTTCTTTGAGACGGCGGTTATTGTTTTGACCGCGGTAGCCATCAACCGCATCACGGAAGAAAACTACGATGTGCTGATGCCTGTACTGGGCATCTTCGGCGCCGTTGTTGCACGCTATATTGTCGTGACCTACGCTCGTTATGCGGTGCGCAAAGTTGGCCTGAACGTTGCGTTTGATCTGCGCCAGCAACTGTATAGTTCACTGCAGGATCAGGGTGCAAAATTTTATGCTGACCACAGCATTGGCGACATGATGACTCGTGCGGTCGCTGATATTTCTCTCGTCTACCGCCTGATTGCCATGGGTACCATCCTTGTGGTGATCCTTGTGTACGCAACCTTGTTCGGCTATGGCGCGATGCTTTATTACTCTCCCATGCTGACGCTGCTGCTGCTGCCACCGATGCCCATAGTGTTCTGGTACGCACAGAGATCTTCCATGCAGATGGGTATTGCCTCGCAACAGGTCCAGGAACGCCTTTCTGATCTGGGTACCCACGTGCAGGAGAACCTCAGCGGCATCCGCACCATTCAAGCCATGGTGCAGGAAGAAAACGAGATAAAACGATTTGCGCAGACGAACCAGAACTACGCAGAAGCTTTTTACGAACAGGGTCGGATCACGTCAGCCATGGCCGCGTGGATGCCGACCCTCGCAGCGGTTTGTTCTCTGACAATCTTGAGTTTCGGCGGTTACCTGGTGCTTGAAGGTAAAATGCTGGTTGGCGATTTTGTCGCGTTCATCAGCCTGGTTGCCATGGTTGTGCAGCCTTTTCGCGTCGCCGGTTTTATTGTCAACTTATTCCAGCGGGCTGCCGTGGCCAGTGATCGTTTGTTTGAGGTGATGGACCTTGCACCGGAGATCACCAATGCGCCAACTGGAAATACACCCGCAGTCATCAGCGGCGACATCAGGTTTAATCATTTAAGTTTCACGTTTCCAGGCAGCACCGAACCGGTATTGAAAGATATCAATCTGCACATTAAAAAGGGTGAGACGATTGCAATCATGGGCCGTGTTGGAGCAGGTAAGACTACCCTGCTTAAACAAATCGTCAGGATTCTCGATCCAGCGCCAGGCGCCATTCTCATAGATGGTCACGATATCGCCGATTATCCTTTAGCCCAGGTGCGCTCGCAGATTGCCATGGTGCCTCAGGACCCTTTCCTTTTTGCTGAACCATTAAAAGACAATCTGACTTATGACGATCCGAATCGCGCGCTGGAAGAAATCTGGCAGGCTGCCACGTCCGCTGATCTGAAAGCCACCATCGAAGACTTTCCGGATCGGCTCGACACTTTAGTGGGCGAGCGCGGCGTAACTTTGTCAGGCGGGCAGAAACAGCGCGCGACGCTGGCAAGGGGGTTTATCCGCAACGCCCCGGTGCTCGTTCTCGACGACTGTTTTTCAGCTGTAGATACTGAGACTGAAGAACACATATTGTCCGAACTGAAGCGATTGAGACAAACCCAGACCACATTACTGGTATCCCACCGTGTCAGTACCGCCCGTCATGCTGATCGCATAGTTGTGCTGGAAGACGGCGGCATTCGTGAAGTGGGCAGCCATGAGGAATTGATCGAAGCACAGGGTTATTACGCAGAACTGGAACGCGTGCAGCGTGAAGGTGCTGAAAACGAAAACTTTGCCGGTACGCGGGTGAGCAGCTGATGCAGAAACAAGCTGACAAGAACACTACGGAGCAGCGCGATCATGCAATGTTCGACGCAGACCTGAGTGGCGCTGTCTTAAACATGCACCTGCTGGGTCGGTTAATGCACTGGCTCAAACCCTATAAACTGTCCCTGCTGATCAGCACCGTGCTGGTACTGATTACGTCCACTCTGCAGATCCTCCTGCCGATCATCATTTCCCTGGTTGCCATCGATCACATCTTTCGTAATGAGTCTGATGCAGATACGCCGGATTTTGGCCTGATCGAACTGAACACCTATCTGGTTGACGTCACCGGATTGCCTGCGCTTGTGATTGCCTGTTTGATGTATGGCGTTATCCAGATTCTCTGGGCATTTACCGGCCATGCGCATCGCATGACTCTGATCGGCGCCGTGATCAAAGGCCTGCGCGACCTGCGTTTGGATCTGTTCAGACACCTGGAAACCCGGCCATCGTCTTTTTATGACCGCGTTGCCGTAGGCCGGGTGATGACCCGGGTCACCAACGATGTAGAAGCACTGTTTGAATTATTGCGCGGCTTAGGCAGCCTGATCGGAGAGTTTGTCCCGTTTTTTGTGGCCCTGACCGTCATGCTGGCCATCAACCCGGAACTCACTGTGATCCTGCTGTTGGCTTTGCCGATTTTAGCCGGAGCCACCTACTACTTCCGTCGCATGACACGACATCTATTCAGACAGGTTCGCCAGACGCTGTCCGCGTTGAACCAGAATCTGCAGGAAAACCTGGCTGGTCTGCAGGTAGTGCAACTCTCCGACCGGGAGGGGTTCAACCTCAAGCGTTATACCAGGATCAATGAGAAGAATCGCGATTTCGAATTGCGCTCGGCACGGGTTGAAACGCTTTATGGTGCATTCAACGATAGCCTTGCACATATTGCTATTGGCGTGATCATCTGGTTCGGTGCAAGTCAGGTGTCGACGATGGAAATGACGCTGGGGGAAGTTGTACTGTTTACTCAGTTTATCGGCATGCTGTTCCATCCTGTTGTGGTACTGGGAGAACAGACCAACATTCTGTTCCGTGCCATGGCCAGTGGTGAGCGGATTTTTCAGGCTATCGACTGGGATGAAAAAATCCACGAACCGGCTCACCCTGTGACACTTCCAAAGCGCCTTGCAGGTGAGGTGCGTTTCAATCACGTCAACTTCAGCTACCTTGATAACATGCCGATCCTGAAGGATGTGACTTTTACTATCGCACCTGGCGAAAAACTTGCCATCGTCGGCCCTACCGGATCAGGCAAAAGTACGTTAATACGCCTGTTAAGCCGCTTCTACGATTTTGATGATGGGCAGATCTTTCTGGACGGCGTAGATCTCAACCATATTCACAGCCACGATTTAAGAAAACGTGTCGGCGTCGTCCTGCAGGACTTCCATATCTTTTCCGGCAGCATCTACGACAACATTGCGCTCGGCAACCCGGACATTACCCTCGAACAGGCCACACAAGCGGCAAAGACAGTAAATGCACACGATTTCATTGTCTCACTGCCTGACGGCTATAACACGGTACTGACCGAGCGCGGCCAGAATCTGTCACAGGGACAGCGCCAACTTCTGGCGTTCGCGCGCGTGTTAGCAGCGGATCCGGAAATACTTGTGCTTGACGAAGCCACAGCGAGTATCGACACGGAGACGGAATTGTTAATCCAGGATGCTTTGCGACGCTTGACCCAGGACCGCACCAGCATTCTTATCGCCCACCGCCTGCAGACGATTCAGGAAGCGGATCGCGTCCTGGTATTACACAACGGTCGCGTCGAAGAGCTTGGCACCCACGAGGAACTGCTGGCGGCGCAGGGGTTATACAGCACCCTGCACAGCCTGCAGTTTCAGGAACCGGTAGTTGCAGAAGACTCCGCTTAGCTGACCACCTGGCCGGTGTGTGCTTCTTTGTAACCGTTCTGATCATAAGCCAGAGCGCCGTTAACGATGACCGAATTCACACCAATGGCATCACGCACATAACGCATGCCGGTACCGGGAATATCATGTACCGCCTGCTCTTCTCCACGGGCAATCTGATCAGGGTCAAAGACCACCACATCCGCAGCAAAACCCTCCTGCAGAAGTCCGCGGCCTTTTAAGCCCCAGATATTGGCGGTATCCAGGGTTATCTTTTTCACCGCCTGCTCCAGACTCAGACTCCCGGAACTGCGTACAAATTCACTGAACAGATAACCGGTATCACCGTAGGTTGCAAAGCTTGCGATATGCGCGCCACCATCAGAGGCACCCACATGCACCATGGGATCCGCCAGCAGCGGTCCAACCCGGGACGAATCATTGTGCCCCATATTGGCGGCGAGGAAGTGAACGTTAAGATCGTGCTGTAGGGACAGATCGATCATACATTCCGCTGGAGTTTGTTCGCGTTCGTCTGCCACCTCCGCCAGGGTACGCCCCTCTAGTTTTTCGTTTGCACCTTTGGTATTTCCAGATGTGCCCTCTGCAGAGGGTACGGAACGAATCACCAGCCCGCCTAACCAGCCTCGGCCACCGCCTGATCCCGCCGCCGCGATCAGCTTCTCACGCCCTTCCGCGCTGGAGAAAAATGCAATTTTTTCATCTTTAGGCAGCCGCATGGCGCGGAACCAGGCCGGGTTACCGGCAAAAAACAGACTCGGCAGATCAAAACAGAAACTGATATCGATGGGCCGGGTCTGCACCTGCGGCCATACCCGCGCACCTCTTGCCATCTGCTCTTTCACCCGAGCCATGGCGCGCGGTACATTGTCCGGCGTTGCAGCAGTATCGAACAGCGGGGAAAACGTCGTGGGAATGTTGTACTTCAGCGACAGTTCAGCCAGCTGATCGATGCGCGCTATGGTGATGTCGGTTGCATAAAACTCCGGCACAACCTGCAACATTTTGCCATATTCGCCGAGCACTGCAGCCAGTGCATCAAGCTCCTCAGTATGCGCCCAGCGGCTGGGCACAGGATATAGATTGGTATCGATGTCCACATAACTGGTGGATAAACCGACGGCTCCAGCTTCCAGAGCCTGGCGCAGCAGATCCTGCATCTGCTCGATTTCTTCCGGTGTTGCAGCGCGTTCCTGGGCCGCCTGATCCATCACCCACATGCGAATAACACTGTGCCCGACTAAAGGTGCAACGTTGATCGACAGTTGCGCTTTAATCGCCACCAGGTAGTCATCAAAACTCTCCCAGGTCCATTCAAACGCGGTGCCGTCAAAAACTTCTTTTGGCAGCTCTTCAATCTGGCGGAACATGCCTACCAGACCGTCCCGATGCGCGACTTTGAGAGGCGCCAGAGACAAAGAGCAGTTGCCCGGAACAACGGTGGTAATACCGTGAGCCAATGCCGGGCGGGCTTCACCATCCCACAACAGCTGGGCATCAAAGTGGGTATGCGGGTCGATAAAACCAGGTGCAACCACACAGCCTTTTGCATCAATGATCTGACTGCCTTCGCTATCCTCTATACGGCCTATATGCGCTACCTTGCCAGCCTTTATGCCCAGGTCGCTGCGATATCCCGGCATACCACTGCCATCTACAATCAGACCGTTCTTAACCACTATGTCGTACATTTCTCTACCCTCTTTTTGAGTGTCTGCTTTCTACGCTGTTGACTGGCAGGGTGCTGTGGTGCCAGAAGTGGCATCGTCAGTATCCTGCAAAATTTCGATCACTGCCTGCCAGGGTTGTCCGACAAGCTCACTGAGATCACTGGCGCCGCAATGTGCCAGGAGCTTCACGCCCAGTGCGTTTGCCATGACTGCATCGCCTACCACACCATTTTCATAACGGATTTTAAGGATCAGTTCCGGCTGTCCATCGTGGCCGCCGGTGACTTCTGCGGCAACGATAATGGGTTGGTTCTGGAGAATCGGTTGATTCATGAAGCGTTTTGCGGTGGCTCCAGAAACACCACATCACTGCCGGTAATCAGGCCGTGAGGAGAACGCATCAGGAAGATGTGCAGATTCCAGCTTGTCAGTTGAGCAACTGCCTCATCCAATGCGAGATCCGGCATTTCGCGTGCAGCAATGGACTCAATGGTATCGCCCGGCTGTGGCGAAATGAATTTGCGCTGGGGGGACAATACTGCTGCACTCATAACCGTCTCACTGTGTTTTTCCAACCGCTCATTATGAAGTGCTGGCAAAACAACGCAACGTTCGATCAGAGCCATGATAAACTTCCTTTATGCAAAAAGACGTCGGAAAATCTGCAAATAAAACCCCCGCCAAGCCCGACCAGCGGGTAGTCAGTGGGCAGAAGTTCACCAGTGCACACGGGATTAAGGCGATCAAGGATGGCGTGAAAACCCGCGCTGACAGCACCCGCGCCACCGACCGTAAGCCACCCTGGTTGCGGGTCAAACTCGGCGGCGGCGAAAAATTCAAAAACGTGAAGAAGACAGTCAACGAACACCGACTGGCCACGGTCTGCGAAGAGTCACATTGCCCCAATATCGGCGAATGCTGGAGCCATGGCACCGCAACGATCATGTTGATGGGTTCAGTGTGCACCCGCGCCTGTAAATTCTGCGCGGTTGATACCGGTAACCCGAAAGGATGGCTCGATACCGCTGAGCCCGCCAATGCGGCACGCTCCGTGCGCCTGATGCAATTGCGCTATGTGGTTCTGACTTCGGTGGATCGCGACGACCTGGCGGATGGCGGTGCAGCTCACTATGCTGCCTGTATCCAGGCAATACGTGCCGAAAATCCAAATACTGCGGTTGAAGCACTGACACCTGATTTCAGCGGCAACAAAGACGCCGTGGCTACCGTGGTCAACTCAGGCCTGCAGGTATTTGCCCAGAACCTGGAGACCGTATCTCGCCTGACACACATGGTGCGAGACATTCGAGCCGGTTATCAACAGACACTGGACGTTCTCGCGTACGCCAAAGAGGTACGTTCCGACGTTCTCACCAAATCGAGTCTGATGGTCGGCATTGGTGAGGGTGACGATGAAATCATGCAGGCCATGCAGGATCTGCGCGATCACCAGGTGGATATTGTCACTCTGGGACAATACCTGCGCCCCACGGCAAATCATCTACCCGTGGATCGCTGGGTGCACCCGGAGCAGTTTGCCGAATACCGGCAAGCCGGTCTGGCAATGGGTTTTACCGAAGTGGCATCTGGCCCATTAGTACGCTCCAGCTATCGAGCCGATCGTGTGTTCGAGAAGAATAATCTGGGGCTCGATACGATTCCGCTGCGCAACATTTAGTTTAATCGCCCAGCCGATGTGCAAACTGGCTGATCGAACCGATGGTTTCCGCATAAATATCCGGCACGATATCTGGAAATGTACCGTCCCCGGCATGTGGCGTGCCATGTACTGTTCGAGCAACAGCACTCACACCTGCCCCAAGTAAATTACGATAGAAACACAAGCCTTCATCCCGAAGTGGATCCAGTTCGTTAACAGACACCACATGCGGCGGCAGCCCCTTCAATGTGTCCTGGGTAGCCCGCAGTGGCCAGGCCAGCGGATTAGATGAGTGCTCTACCCCAGGATCGTACACCTTCACTAACGCACTCATCATGGCGCCGTCCAGCAGATAACCTTCATTCTCCTGCAATGACGGTAACCACTCAGGTGGCTCAGCATACATACCTGAGATGTAGGGACACATTGCATAGACACCGTCGATCTGACTTCCCCAGCCTTCCTGCGTGGCCTTCAAGGTTGTCGCTATGGCCAGATTACCGCCACCTGACTCACCACTGATAACTATTGTTTTCACATTGAGTGCAGCTTTGTTTGCATGTACCCACTGAACCGCACTTGCGCAATCGTTGAGCCCTGCAGGAAAGGGGTGATTACCCAGGCTGCCACCACCGTTGCGAAACTCGACACCCACAACAACCAGACCCTGTTCGGCAAGGCTGCTACGCCAGCGACGAAAGCCAGGGTCCTGTGCCGTCATCAACACCATACCGCCACCGTGGGTGTGTACCACGCAGGGTGCATCAGCCTGTTGTTGCACGGGGCGATGAATGTGCAGGGTTATATCGTTGCCATCCACTGAGCGAATCACTTCTGTCGAGACCACTACTGCCGGAAAATCCGGCATCATTTGTTCTGCAAGTTCATGCTGAGCCGCGCTGGCAGCTTCGAACGCCGCGCAGTAAGCAAGACAGGCTTCATAATCAGCACCAATCGGCGGTGGCTCAACGCCGGGGGCAAGCTCTGCGGCTAACGCGAATGCGGCAGCTATGCGCGGGTCAAGCCGCGGGTCTGTGATCAATGTCGAATCCGGATCACCGATTCGCCCTGGTGCTGTATAACGCTCTGCTTTCACACTTTTCCCCTTTTCATGATTCAATTCACCTGCCGGCAGGCAAAACCAGGACTACCAGGCAATGCCATAATCTTCGCCAAAATCGCTGGCGCCACCGGTGAACGTCCCCTGCTCCTGATCAAACATGATCGCATTGATCGGCCCTGAGGTTTTATCCCGATATATCGGTTTGTAACCCCGTTGCTGGAGAGTTTTGCGCACCCACGCTGGCGTTTGTTCATTCAAAAGAATTTTTCCAGGTTCAGCACGATGGTCCGCAAAACTGTTGCGCATCTGGTAACTCCAGAAATAAGGCGCTTCCACCGCTTCCTGGACATTCATGCCAAACTCAACCACGCCCAGGAAAAACTGCAGCAGAACCTGATCCTGGATATCACCACCCTGGACCGCAAAAGACAGATAAGGCTTGCCGTCTTTTAGCGCCATGCCGGGTGTCAACGTTGCTCGCGGCCGCTGGCCGGGCTGAACCACATTAAACGGATTCTGTGCAGGGTCGAGGACAAAGCTCTGCATCCGCTGACTCATGCCGATGCCGGTATTACCGGCGATGGCTGCAGGAATCCAACCGCCTGATGGCGTCACTGACACTACCCATCCTTGCGCATCCGCAGCTTGTATCGTTGTGGTACCGGCAAGAAACCCTCGTTCATGCTGTTCCATGTCCACACTGGCCTGTTGCCAGGGTGGCATCACGCCGCTGTCACTACGGGGCGTGTTGGTCCACTGCTCAAGATATTCCAGGTAGGGATTTTTACCTTTTTGAAAACGATACGGGTCACCGGGTTTGATGTTCGGATCATTGTTTTGCGCATCGATCTGCTCACGCCGACTGGCGGCATATTTTTTGGATAACAAACCGGCCAGCGGTTCTACCGGCGGCACGTAGGGATCGCCGTAATAGAAATCGCGGTCGGCAAAAGCCAGATTCATCACCTGATACAACGTGTGAATATAGTTAGCGCTGTTAAAACCCATGTTTTGCCAGTCCATGGTTTCAGCGATATTCAGCGCCTGCAGCATAACCGGCCCCTGCACCCAGGTATTGAGCTTGTACACATCAATATCTTTGTACGCACTGACCACCGGTTCTTCGACATAAACCTGCCAGTCGGCCAGATCCTGGAGCGTGTGTAAGCCCCCTAATGCTTGTGCGCCACGCACAAAGTCCTGCGCGATATCACCGCTATAAAAACGCTCGTAAGCTTTCATGATCGCAGTTTCGCGATCTGCCCCAGCCGCCAGCGCCTGCTGCTCTGCCTCGACCAGCTTTTCCAGGGTCCTGTAAAGATCAGGTTGTCGGAACAGCTCCCCGGCATGCGGGGCCTCCCTGTCTTCACCTTCGTGCACCAGAAACAGCGAACGGGAACTTGGCCACTGACGAATCTCTTCTTTCATCCGTTCAATGGAGTTGGCGGTCTGCGCTTCCATGGGATAGCCCTGCGCCATTTCCATGGCGGGCGCGAGCACTTCTTTGAGTGATAGCGTGCCGTACTTTGCCAACATCACCAGCAAACCACCGGGGGTGCCCGGGGTTACCGCGGCTAACGGACCGTACTCCGGCGGCTGGGTCATGCCCAGATCCCTGAAATACTCTGGCGTTGCGCCTGAAGGTGCAACCCCCAACGCGTTGATCGCAATCACCCGCTTTTCCTCGGGGTGATAAATCAACGCCTGGGTTTCGCCACCCCAGCTGAGTACGTCGAACATGGTTGAGGTTGTAGCCAGCATGGCACATGCAGCATCCACAGCATTACCACCGGCGTTGAAAATTTTAGCGCCGGAGGTCGCCGCCAGGGGTTTGCCGGTTATCGCCATCCAGTGTTTGCCATGCAGCATGGGTTTGTTGGTTGCCGCATTCACCGGTGCCATCAATATCACCACCAACACCAGGAAAGCGACAAGCTGCAATAACATGGACGCTCGCCACCATTGCTCTGTCTTTAGCCTTACCACTACACTAGCCTCCATGACTACAGAAAAAACACAGACTCGAAGTATCGCGGACACAGCCTTTGTTGTCGCGCCCGAAAACCCGATCCGAATCAAGCTGATCAGGACCGACGATTTTGATAGCTGGTTAACCGCCCTGGATGCCCAGGCTTCCAGCTGGGTGCAGCGACAGGGCTTCGTCGCCAAACCCAATCAATGGGCGTCACTGGACGACTCAGCCGGTGAAATGATTGTCGTCGGCTGGGATGGCACAGACAATATCGCCAGCCTGGGCAGCCTGCCCCTGGATTTACCCGAAGGCGACTATCAACTGCTGGATGCGGTGTCTGACCTGCAGGTTACCGGCTGGGGCTTAGGCAGCTATCAGTTCAGCCGATATAAACAACCCACCCGGCAGGCAGCAAGGCTGCTGATCCCCGCTGACAACAACGCCGCAAGCATCATCAATATCTGCACCGCCACCTGCCTGACCCGAGATCTGATCAATACCCCGGCCCAGGACATGGCGCCTTCACACCTTGAAGCTGAAGTCACCGCGCTGGCTGAGCAGTTTGAAGCGCAATGTCAGATCACCCGCGGCGATGAACTGCTTGACCTGGAGTGTGGAGCCATCCACGCCGTCGGTCGCGCAGCGGATGATGCGCCTCGTCTTATCGATCTAACCTGGGGTGATCCTGAACATCCAAAAGTGACGCTGGTCGGAAAAGGGGTGACTTTTGACAGCGGTGGCCTGGACATCAAACCACCAAACGCCATGCGTTGGATGAAAAAAGATATGGGTGGCGCCGCCAACGTCATTGGCCTGGCTTATCTGATCATGGCCCAGGCGCTGCCAGTACGACTGCGCGTACTTGTACCCGCGGCGGAAAATGCTATTGCCGGTAATGCCTTCCGACCAGGTGACGTCCTGCACACCCACAAAGGGTTAACAGTGGAGATTGACAATACCGACGCCGAAGGACGTTTGTTGCTTTGTGATGCGCTGTCCATTGCCTGCGAAGATAAACCTGAGCTGATTTTTGACTACGCGACCCTCACCGGCGCCGCGCGCGCGGCTGTGGGGGCGGAACTTTCAGCCATGTTCTGTAACCATGATGGACTCGCTGCCGATCTTCACCAACACGGCGACGAGATTGACGACCCGCTCTGGCGTATGCCGCTGCACCAGGGTTACAACTTCATGATTGAGTCAAAGATTGCCGACGTGGTGAATTCTGCTGCCTCACCTTACGCAGGTGCTATTACCGCCGGGCTGTTTCTGCAGAAATTTGTCGACCATGATCGTTGGGTACATTTTGATATCAATGCATTTAACACCCGCAGTCGTCCCGGCAGACCTGAAGGTGGCGAGGCAATGGGTTTGCGAGCGGTCTACAACTACCTGGCGGCAACTTATGGGGCTGCTTAAAAACCTGGAAGATGCACAGAAAGGCACCAGTACTGCGTTAGCGTCCTTGTTAGACACGTTACCCTACAACGCCCAGGGCTTGATTGCGGCTATCGCGCAGGACGCCACCTCCCGCCAGGTACTCATGCTCGCATGGATGGATCGCACGGCGATCGAACGGACCATTGAACAGGGCCAGGTATGGTACTTTTCCCGCAGCCGCAACACCTACTGGCGCAAAGGCGAATCTTCCGGACATACCCAGCAACTGAAAAGCATGGCGTTCGACTGCGACGGTGACGCCGTGCTGCTGGAAGTGAACCAGACTGGACCGGCCTGTCACACTGATCGTCCACACTGCTTTTATCTGCAGGTGCAGGGACAGCAGGTTGTTGTAACTTCGGACCCGGTCGACAGCAACACCCCTTAAAAAGCCTCACTTCAGCTCTGACTTCAACCAAGCACCATCAACTATGCCTGACGGTGCTGCTGCCTTATACTGCGCGGCCAAAAACGAAAACCCAGACGCAGGTTATGCCAGAGATTTACTTCCACAACACGCTGAGCGGTAAAAAAGAGCTTTTTACCCCCATTGATCCAGAGCGGGTAACGGTATATGTCTGCGGCCCAACGGTGTACAACTTTGTACACATCGGCAATGGTCGACCTGCGGTAGTTTTTGATGTGCTGACACGCCTGCTGCGCAGCATCTATCCTCATGTCAGCTACGCCCGCAACGTCACCGACATCGACGACAAGATTAATGCCGCGGCACTGGCGAACGGTGAGCCGATCCAGGCGCTTGCAGATCGCTTCACCAGCGCTTACGAAAAAGACATGACCACCCTGGGTGTTATACCCCCGGATGTTGCACCCCGGGCGACACACCACATCGATGAAATTGTGGCCATGATCGAAGAGCTGATTGCCAGCGGGCACGCGTACGCGAACGAAGGGCATGTGTTGTTTGATGTGCCTTCAGACCCCAGCTACGGCAGCCTTTCCCGGCGCTCACTGGAAGATATGCTGGACGGCGCCCGTGTTGAAGTGGCGCCTTATAAAAAGGACCCAAAAGACTTTGTCTTGTGGAAACCATCCAGCAAAGAGCAGCCTGGTTGGCCCAGCCCCTGGGGAGTCGGCAGACCGGGTTGGCACATTGAGTGCTCGGCGATGATTCGCAAACATCTCGGCCGCAGTATCGATATTCATGGCGGCGGCTCAGACCTGACCTTCCCGCATCACGAAAATGAAGCGGCCCAGAGTCGCTGCGCGAATCATACGCCGGACTACGTCCGCTACTGGTTGCATAACGGCATGCTCACCATGGGTGGTGAGAAGATGTCCAAATCCGTAGGGAATGTGCACACTATTCATGAGCTCGCGGAGCAGTACAGTGGCGAAGTGCTGCGCTACGCATTGTTAGCGGGTCAATATCGCTCACCCCTGGCCTGGTCTGATGACCTTATTCAACAGGCCCAATCGAGCCTCGACAGTTTGTATCAGGCGCTGCGGGATAAACCTGTCGATGCCGAGGAAACAAAAGACTTTTCTCAGTTGGACAGCAGCGCGTTTCCTGAAGCTGTTGTGGCGGCGTTATGTGATGACCTGAATACACCCGAGGCACTGGCCGCAATGCATGAGCTGGCTGCGGATCTACAGAAAGCGGACAATCAAACAGCCATCCAGAGCGCCCGACAACGTCTGCTAGCAGGTGGCTGGTTGCTGGGTTTGTTAGCGCAGGATGCAGAGACATATTTTACCGCTGCCGGTGGCGAGTTAGGCGCGGGTGATTTAAGCGCTGATGAAATCGATGCACTGGTAGAGGCACGTAATGCTGCGCGCGCCAACAAAGACTTCGCCGGCGCCGATCAGATACGGGATCAGCTGGCTGCCGCGGGCATAGAGCTTGAAGATCTGCGCGAAGGAACCCGCTGGCGCCGTAACTGATGTATCCAGTGGCTGTCATTGGCGATAACGTCACGGCCCGGGCGGTATTGCGGGCGGCGGCGCGCAATGGCTTCAACGACATTACCTGGGTGGCCACACCGCAACCCACTCCTCTGCCAGCCACCACCCTCAGCGCCAATCTCACCAGAGTGATTTATGCGCTGGGATTAGGTGATGCACTCGAACAGGTCGGCTATCAGCCTGATCGTGAACAGGTTCGTTTCGCGGCATCCGGCTACCTGCTAACCGAACTGCCGCTGGGCAAATTCACCTCGGACCGTTACGGCACTCACCACGTCAACATTGAACACCAGGCACTACTGAACCTGCTCACGCCTGACTTCCCCTTAACCGACAAGCTCGAAACAGCGCCCGAACAACAAGCGCTGGAACAGAACCACTCCCTGCTGTTGGATTGTGCTCCGGGACCAGGTCCATCGAGCACGCCTACCCACGAGTTATGGCATGCAACCGCGCCATTTGAACCTAACATCGCCAAGGCAAACATGACCTGGCTGGGCAGAGGGCAAACCTGCTGGCAGTTTGCCACGCCAAGCGCTCTGCACTATGTTTTTGCCACTCCAGTGAACGAACCATTTGTCAGCAATGAATGGCATAGCAGCCTGCAGGCGCCGCTGGCAGGCGCTGAACAGGTGTTACGATTTGACGCCCTCAACACTTCAGTGCGCGAACACTGGTATGCAGGACATGTTGCCTACCTGGGAGATGCCTGTTACACAGCCAATCCGTTCAGCCGCGAAACCCGCCATATCGGATTGGAAGATGCATGGGTATTGAGTCGCATGATGGACAACTACGAGGAAGACATTGGCGATGGCCTGCGCGAGTATCAGAAATACCGGCGCCCCCGAGTGCAAAAAGTAGCCGCCAAGAATGCACTGGCGGCACAGCAGCATTTGCCAACCGATAAACTAGGTCGCATCAGAAGAAATATCAGCCTGGCATTTGGCACACGCTTCATGCCCGAGATTGCCATGCAAAAAATTGATTGGCTGTACAGCTATGACTGCATCAGAGGGTTTCGCTAGTGAGTATGATTAAAGAGCACATTGAACAACGCTGGCAGGACAGCATTCTGCCTGCACTACACGATTACATACGTATTCCAAACAAATCACCCAGTTTCGATTCTGACTGGGAAGCCAACGGTTTTATGCTCGAGGCGGCACAGATGCTGCTGGCGTGGACCAGCCAGGTCACAATCGACGGACTGCAGGCGGAGATCATCACGCTGCCGGGTCGTACCCCGCTGATTTTCTGCGAAGTTTCCGCAACCAATGGCCATAACGCAGCCACTGATCCCTGCGTACTGCTGTACGGCCACTATGATAAACAACCGGAATTCGACGGCTGGGAACCTGGTCTGTCACCCTGGGAGCCGGTTGAACGCGACGGCAAGCTATATGGTCGCGGTGGCGCTGATGATGGCTACGCTTTATTTTCCTGCCTGACCGCCATCGAGGCGATGCAACAAGCCAACCTGCCGCACCCGCGCTGCGTTGTTCTGATTGAAGGCTGCGAAGAGAGCGGCAGTTTTGATCTGCCTCATTACATGGATCATCTGCGCTCACGCATCGGCAGCACAGAACTGGTGATCTGCCTGGATGCAGAGTGTGGCAACTACGATCAACTGTGGGTGACCACGTCGTTGCGCGGCATGTTACCCGGCGTGCTGAGCGTGGACATCCTGACCGAGGGACAACACAGTGGCGCAGCCGGAGGCATTGTGCCCTCCTCTTTCCGCATCATGCGCCATCTGATTGAGCGGGTGGAAAACGCTGCAACAGGAGAATTACACAACGCCCTCTCGGTTGTGATCCCCGATGCGATAGAAAGGGCTGCGCGGGATGTCGCCCAGGTGGTTGGCCCCGAAGTGATCCATCGCTTTCCCTGGGTAGACGGCGCCAGTATCGATACGGATGATCTTGCTGATCTGATTGTAACCAATACCTGGCGACCCAGTATGGCGACAGTCGGGCTTGCCGGTGCACCGGACATCCACGACGCAGGTAACACATTACGACCCAACACAACCGCAAAACTGGTCTTCCGTCTGCCACCCACACTGGATGCAGCGACCGCTGCACAACAGATTAAAACCCTGCTGGAAAGTGACCCACCCTACGGTGCACAGGTTAAATTCGAAGTGGAAACTCCACAAACGGGTTGGAGCGCGCCAGCTGAATCAGCCTGGCTTGCCAAGGCGTTGAATGAGGCTTCTCAACATCACTTCAAGAAACCTGTCATGCACATGGGCTGCGGTGGCACCATACCGTTTATGAAAATGTTAGGTGATGCTTATCCGCATACCGAATTTTTTGTCACTGGTTTATTAGGCCCGAAATCCAATGCCCACGGCCCCAACGAGTTTCTGCATATTGACACGGCAAAACGACTGACCGGTTGCGTAGTAGACGTGTTAGCTGCTGCGTCGGAGCAGTTTTGCGCGCAGCCGCGCTAGATGCCTGCTAGTGCAGCAGCCGACTGTTAGCGCTGAAACTTTTTTTCAGGAAATCCATCTGGTCACCCAGAATTCGACCGGAATTGATCAACGCAAGGTACTCTGAAAAGTTAGGCACGTAGGGCAACGCCAACAGGTCCAGGTTGATGTCCTGCAGGAGCCGGTTACCTTTAAAATGATTGCAGCGCTTACAGGCTGCAACCACATTATCCCAGGTATCCTTCCCACCTTTGGACACCGGCATAACATGATCCCGAGTAAGAACTTCATCAGGATATTGTTTGCCGCAGTAAAGGCACGTGCTGCGATCTCGACCGAACAGCGCTCTATTGGTCAGCGGTGGGATAACCTGGTCTTTGGAAACAACCCGCCCATCACAGGCGATAATGCTGTGGATTTCGACGTTGCTGGGAGAACTGTCAAAACGTGAGTGGCCACCGCGAATACGCAACACTGGATCGCCAATGGTCCACACGACGATATCTCGAGCATACAAACATACCGCGTCCTGCCAACTCACCCAGTCGATGGGTTGACCGGCAATATTGAGCCGAAGTATCTTCGGCACGCGATCAAATTCTGTCAGGGTTGCGATCATCTGCTGCCTCTCAATAACTGACGGCCCAGCTTAACGAGCAGGACGAAAACTAAGCTATATTGCGATGCCCTGCAACCACCGCCCCGGCGCAGGAGCAACATGCCGCTTTACACAGATACGCGACCTAGGCAAAGTGCGGCGTCATGAAATACCCACTGCTTGCCATCACTCTGATGGTCCTCACCGCTTGTTCAAACAACCCTGGCTCCGAATCAGTAGATCAGGCCCAGACTATCGCGCGGGCGCAGGAACGTGCCTGGTTCTGCCAGATGAATGAACTTGGCACCGACTGGGAATGTGTGCAGGACGCCGAGCTTGCGCGCAATCCGAAGCCCGATCGCCTGCCAGGCCGGAAGCCCGCCGCAGAAACCTCGCCGCCTGTCTCCAGCGATAACATCTCGCCAGAATTAAGCGAGAACCAGGATGCTGCATCGCTGGCTGTTGAAGACAGTGAACCGGCTGAGCCACCCCCAGCAGAGCTGCCTGTACACATTGCGCTGTCTTATCGGCCAGCGGAGCCGGTTGCACTGTTGGATCTGCCCGCCGACTATTACGCCGTGCAGCTTGTTGCGGTAACACGGAAAAGGGATCTGGAAGACTTTGCGGAGCAGCATCAGATCCGCGGCATGTCAGCGGCGCGTACCTATAGTGGCGAGCAATTGTTCTATATTCTGCTGCTGGGCGTTTATGAAACCTATGACAATGCAGAATTGGCCGCCCGCTCACTGGGACCACCATTTGATGAAACCGCACCTTGGATACGACCGGTTGGCTCTTTGCAACGCGCTATTCGGGCAGCGGATGAATTCACCGGGTCCAGCGACTACTAGCTTTTAGTCACCCGCTGTAGTCGAGTTTATCGCAGCTTAACGCTCACATTCGAGCCAGCGGCTGCTGACGGCGATAGTGATGCAGCGCTTCAATAGAAAACAACAGCAGGCCTAACCAGATCAGAGCAAAACTCAGCCAGCGACCTGAGGGCACCTGCTCATCAAACACAAACACCGCAATCAATAACGACAGGCTGGGCGCGATGTACTGGCAGAAACCCAGCATGGTCAGGGGGATGCGGACGGCGGCGGAAGCAAACCATATCAACGGTAAGACGGTCACAAGACCACCCAGGCCAAGCATCCAGGTCTGGACCATATCTCGATCCACAGACTGACCACCAAATCCCATCCAGAGCAGGTAAGCAACACCCAGAGGGGCAACAAACAGGGTTTCAATGCCTAAGCCAACTGAGGACGGTACCGCCAGCTGTTTACGTAACAAACCATATAGACCAAACGTAAAGGCCAGCGACAAACCCAGCCAGGGTAATGCACCCTGCGCAACCACTTCGCTGGCAACTCCAACTGCTGCCAGCCCGGTGGCAGCCCACTGCAGTGGCCGCATGGTTTCTTTCAGAAACAACCACCCCAACAAGATACTCACCAGGGGGTTGATGAAATAACCCAACGATGTTTCCGAAATGCGCTCCTGCTGAATGGCAAAGATAAAAATCAGCCAGTTACAGCTGAGCAGGACAGAACACAACATCAGAACCCGCAGCTGTCGCCAGCGCAATGCGCGTACCGCAGGCCATTGTCGGGCAAGGGTGATCAGAATAGCGAGCAGCGGTACAGACCAGACCACTCGATGCGCCAGAACTTCAAGCGGATGCGCAAAACTGACCCAGACAAAATAGATCGGCACCACACCCCAGAACCCGTAAGCGGCCAGCGCAAATGCAAACCCCGCCCGCTGGCGACGCTGCTCATAATCCTGTGCCGTGGAATTGTTCAACCGTTAGACTGGGAAACAAAAGGGCGCGCAGTTTAACGCGGCGCCGATAACAAAGGGGAGCGGTTTTGTTAAAACATCTGAGCACTTTGCTGGCGGCGCTATTGGTTACAGGCTGCGGCACGTCTTTCGACGCTTAAGACTATGCCGAGGCTTTTGCTGACAGGATCAATTACTACTCAGCCCGCCTGAAACTGCGCGGCTCTCAGAAACTGTCTTTACGACGCCGGGTCTCTGCAAATACCTCTACGTCGGAGGCTGACTCAAGTCCGACGTGCTGACGCAAACCTGCACTGGCTGGTCGCACAAAGGGGTTTGTGGCGCGCTCCAGGCCAATGCTCGTAGGCACAGTGGGTTCACCCTTCGCACGCAGCGCATCAATCTGTGCTGAACGTTTCTGCAGATCGAGGTTGTCAGGTTCAACGCTCAAAGCAAACGCAGCATTAGCCTGTGTGTACTCATGAGCACAATACACAACGGTTTCGTCAGGCAAGGCCATGAGCTTCTGCAGGCTGTTCCACATCTGCTCCGGACTGCCTTCAAACAGGCGTCCACAACCCAGTGCAAACAAGGTATCGCCGACAAACACCATATTTTCTGAAGCCAGGTAAAAAGCAATATGCCCGCTGGTATGACCGGGTACTTCAAACACGGTGACCTCCACATCACCAAAGGCAAACTGATCACCATCCACAACGCGCTGATCAATACCGGGGATACGCGCAGCGTCGTTATCTGCTCCAACAACGGTACAGCCCCACTGCTCTTTCAAAGCTTCATTGCCACCGGCGTGGTCAAAATGATGGTGGGTATTGAAGATATGTGTCAGGCGCCAACCGCGCTGAGTAAGCGCAGCGTTGATCGGGGCCACTTCCGGTGTATCAATAGTTGCGGTTAAACCACTGCCTGGCTCATGAATAAGGTAACCGTAGTTATCGTTCAAACAGGGAATCTGGACCACTTCGATTGTCATTTTCATCTACCTTTATGCGTGTGCCGGAATGCGTGTACCGGAATGTGTGTACCGGAACTACCCGCCTGCCCACGCTGTACTTTAAATTGCTGGAGACATTGTGCCAAAAACTTAAACATGCTGATATTAGCGCCGCTCAGAAAATCAACCGTCAACAAAAACCACTGACTAACTTTATGAACCCCGTACTGAATGAAATCATCGACCTTTTTAACGTCGAGCAGATTGAACGCGACTTATACCGTGGTCAAAACCACAACACCGAGCACGTGTTCGGCGGCCAGGTACTCGCCCAGGCCCTGGTCTCGGCTTACCGTACAGTTGAAGCACCCCACCAGCTTCATTCCATGCACGCCTATTTTCTGCGCGCCGGTGACTGGCAGGTACCGATACTTTACGAAGTTGATCGTATTCGTAACGGTCGCTCTTTCAGTACTCGCCGGGTGGCTGCTATTCAGCATGGACGGGCAATTTTCAGCCTGTCCTGTTCCTGGCAGAAAGAAGAAGAAGGCATGCAGCACTCACAACCCATGCCTGACGTACCACCGCCTGAATCACTTCGCTCGGACCTGGAAGCGTTTAAAGCCATGGCCAAAACCCACCCGGAAATGGCCCGCTTCAGCTTTCGCTTTGAGGCCATCGATTCTCGCCAGGTTGAACGCATTCTCATGAGTGATACCCGCGAACACCCGCCGTTCAAACATACCTGGCTGAAATCCCGGGATCTGTTGCCTGACAATCCGGAAGTCCATCTGGCCATGCTGGCTTACATGTCGGATCTGGATTTCATGTCGACGTCAATGCTGCCCCACGGCCGCAACGCGCTGAGGGAAAATGTGCGAGGCGCCAGCCTCGACCATAGTCTGTGGTTCCATCGCCCTTTTCGCGCTGATGAATGGTTACTGTTTGCCAAAGAATCACCCAATGCCAGTGGTGCCAGAGGATTTGTGCGCGGACATTTTTTTAATCGGGCGGGTGAACTGGTGGCAACCGCAGCACAGGAGTGCCTGATCAGGCCTGTTGGTGAGGTACGTGAGAAACTGCTGGCTGAAGCGCCTGCAACGGATTAGTCGGTGTTTACCGGCTGACTAAGTCTGCTCCCACTTGCCAGCGCTGGGCACGGTTTGCGCCAGGAGCGCATCCAGCAGCACCTGTGGATCGCTTTCCGACAACAGCAGCTGACGATGGGTAGAACGCAGAAAACCTTCGTTCACGGTGTGATCCAGAAAAGCCTCGAGTTGATCGTAATAACCATCAACGTTTAACAGGCCAATAGATTTCTGGTGGATACTCAGTTGCGACCAGGTCCAGATCTCAAAACA